ATGCCCTCTCCCATGTGGTCCCCGCACTCACCCCCATCCCTCTCCCATGCCGTCCCCGCACTCACCCCCATCCCTCTCCCATGCCGTCCCCGCACTCACCCCCATGCCCTCTCCCATGCCGTCCCTGCACTCACCCCCATGCCCTCTCCCATGCCCATCTATGTGCTCACCCTCATGCTCACCCATGTGCTCACGACGCTGGAAACTTCAGTTTCTGGAAAAGGTAGAAGCAGATGAAACCTCCTGGAGTTGACAGTTTGATCCTGGCAGCCGGTGTCTTGTCAGAGGCAGGGGTGTTTCCCAACAGCCCCCATCCACCACCCCATAGGGACTGCAAAGCCCTGGGCAGACCTAGACCTGCTGCCTTCTGAAAGCTGCTGGAAGCCTTCTCAGCCTGACTTCTTCCGACCCTCAGGCATTTGGGACATCTCATAATAAAACATCATCAGGTCATGAGGATCTTCAGGGGTGGAGTCTAAGCTTCCTGGGTTGTGAGTTGGCACCTTGTTTCTCTCACTTGCTCTGGAGAGGATTTGGTTAGAAATTCGAGAAAGGGTGGCCCATGCTGGGGCTGAGACATCGGGCCTAGGCCGGGTGGAGCATGTGTCTCACCGGATGCAGCCCTGCAGTGCCGTAAAGAGGGAGGCAGTCCCAGCCCTAAGGCTCACCAGTCACCAGATTCAGGGGGCAAAATCATGTCTCCTGGTAGGAAGCCCAGGAAGCCATGCTCTGTTGCCATGGGTCAGGCACGAAACAGGAGGGAGCATTTTGTTCAGTGAATGGCAGAAGCCACTGGAGGCAGGCAGTCCCAGGGAGTGAGGGCGGTGGGAGCTGCCCCTTCTCAGTGAGGACCTTCTGGACTGTGGGCTTCCTCTCGTGTAGACTTTCATTTTTAGACAAAAATGAGGTTAAAAGCAACCTTTTAAAATGTTGGAGTTAAGTGTGGTGTTTACCCTAAACTGAGACTGAGAAGAAGCTCACAGAGACTGATGGGTGGCGTCCCCTGATGACCATCTGGGTCAGTGTTAGTTTTTTCTCTCCCAAGCTCACACATGCTCTCTCTCTCTAAGTCTAAACCTGAGGTTATTTAGGGACAGACGGTAATCCGATTTAATTTTCTGTTCCGTGATGCTTTAACCTAGCATGGACTGCTTTGTTCCATTTAATACATGATTTCTCGGAGCGTAAGACTTCCCTCTGGACTTAATGCTCTGAGGCTCTCTCTGCGCTCAGCTGTCCTAGCTCTGTGAGTCCATGTTTTTTATCACAGTGCACAGGATCCACAAATTCCAGATCATTTGAGTTGGTTCACAAACAAGTGAGTGTAACAGAGTTAAGTCAGCACCGACCCCATGGTAATGTTGGAATCACAGTAAAGTCAGCACCGGCCCCACAGTGTGTTGAAATCACAGAGTTAAGGCAGCACCAGCCCCGAGGTCTGTTGAAATCAGAGTTAATTCATCACTGGCCCCATGGTGTGTAGAAATCAGAGTTAAGTCAGTACAGGCCCCTTTGCATGTGGAAATCAGAGTGTTAAGTCAACACTGGCCCCGAAGTATGTGGAACTCAGAGAGTTAAGTCAGCAATGTCACCGTGGTGTGTTGAAATCAGACTTAAGTGAGCACTGACCCCGCAGTGTGTGGAAATCACAGAGTTAAGTTAGCACCAGCCTTAAGTGTGTTGAAATCACAGAGATAAGTTAATGCTGACCCCTTGGTGTGCTGAAATCAGAGTTAAGTCAGCACCTGCCCCACGGTGTGTGGAAATCACAGTTAAGTTAGCACCAGCCTTAAGTGTGTTGAAATCACAGAGATAAGTTAATGCTGACCCCTTGGTGTGCTGAAATCAGAGTTAAGTCAGCACCTGCCCCACGGTGTGTGGAAATCACAGAGTTAAGTCAGCACTGACCTGTGGTGTGTGGAAATCACAGAGTTAAGTCAGCACTTCTTCCTTAGCATGTTGAAATTGGAGTTAAGTCAGCGCTTGTCCTGCAACATGTTGAAATGGGAGTTAAGACAGCACTCGTCTCACATGTGTTGAAATGAGAGTTAAGTCAGCACTCATCCCACAGCATGTTGAAATCAGAGTTAAGTCAGCACTCATCCCACAGCATGTTGAAATCAGAGTTAAGTCGGCACTCATCCCACAACATGTTGAAATCAGTTAAGTCAGCACTCATCCCACAGCATGTTGAAATCAGAGTTAAGTCGGCACTCATCCCACAGCATGTTGAAATCAGAGTTATGTCAGCACTCATCCCACAACATGTTGAACTCAGTTAAGTTGGCAGTCATCCCACAACGTGTTGAAATCAGTTAAGTCAGCACTCATTCCGCAGCATGTTGAAATCAGAGTTAAGTCAGCACTCATTCCACAGCATGTTGAAATCAGAGTTAAGTCAGCACTCGTCCCGCAGCGTGTTGAAATCAGAGTTAAGTAAGCACTCACCCTGCAGCGTGTTGATATCAGAGTTGAGTCAGCACTCACCCTGCAGCTTGTTGAAATCAGAGTTGAGTCAGCACTCGTCCCGCAGCATGTTGAAATCAGAGTTGAGTCAGCACTCGTCCCGCAGCGTGTTGAAATCAGAGTTGAGTCAGCACTCGTCCCGCAGCGTGTTGATATCAGAGTTAAGTCAGCACTCACCCTGCAGCGTGTTGATATCAGAGTTGAGTCAGCACTCACTCTGCAGCATGTTGAAATCAGATTTAAGTCAGCACTCACTCTGCAGCGTGTTGATATCAGAGTTAAGTCAGCACTCACTCTGCCACGTGTTGATATCAGAGTTGTCAGCACTCACCCTGCAGCGTGTTGATATCAGAGTTAAGTCAGCACTCACCCCACAGCATGTTGAAATCAGAGTTAAGTCAGCACTCGTCCCACAACATGTTGAAATCAGAGTTGAGTCAGCACTCATCCCGCAGCTTGTTGAAATCAGAGTTGAGTCAGCACTCACCCTGCAGAGTGTTGAAATCAGAGTTGAGTGAGCACTCATCCCGCAGTGTGTTGAAATCAGAGTTGAGTCAGCACTCACTCTGCAGCGTGTTGAAATCAGAGTTGAGTCAGCACTCACTCTGCAGCGTGTTGATATCAGAGTTGAGTCAGCACTCACCCTGCAGCGTGTTGATAACAGAGTTAAGTCAGCACTCACCCTGCAGCGTGTTGAAATCAGAGTTAAGTCAGCACTCACCCTGCAGCGTGTTGAAATCAGAGTTGAGTCAGCACTCACCCTGCAGCGTGTTGAAATCAGAGTTGAGTCAGCACTCATCCCGCAGTGTGTTGAAATCAGAGTTGAGTCAGCACTCACCCTGCAGAGTGTTGAAATCAGAGTTGAGTCAGCACTCATCCCGCAGAGTGTTGAAATCAGAGTTGAGTCAGCACTCATCCCGCAGCGTGTTGAAATCAGAGTTGAGTCAGCACTCACTCTGCAGCGTGTTGATATCAGAGTTGAGTCAGCACTCACCCTGCAGCGTGTTGATATCAGAGTTGAGTCAGCACTCACCCTGCAGCGTGTTGAAATCAGAGTTAAGTCAGCACTCGTCCCGCAGCATGTTGAAATCAGAGTTAAGTCAGTACTCGTCCCGCAGCGTGTTGAAATCAGAGTTAAGTCAGTACTCATCCCGCAGCGTGTTGAAATCAGAGTTAAGTCAGCACTCGTCCTGCAGCGTGTTGATATCAGAGGTAAGTCAGCACTCACTGTGCAGCGTGTTGATATCAGATTTAAGTCAGCATTCACTCTGCAGCGTGTTGATATCAGAGTTAAGTCAGCACTCACTCTGCAGCGTGTTGATATCAGAGTTAAGTCAGCACTCACTCTGCCACGTGTTGATATCAGAGTTGTCAGCACTCACTCTGCAGCATGTTGATATCAGAGTTAAGTCAGCACTCACTCTGCCACGTGTTGATATCAGAGTTGTCAGCACTCACTCTGCAGCGTGTTGATATCAGAGTTAAGTCAGCACTCACTCTGCCACGTGTTGATATCAGAGTTGTCAGCACTCACTCTGCAGCGTGTTGATATCAGAGTTAAGTCAGCACTCACTCTGCAGCGTGTTGATATCAGATTTAAGTCAGCACTCACTCTGCAGCGTGTTGATATCAGAGTTAAGTCAGCACTCACTCTGCCACGTGTTGATATCAGAGGTAAGTCAGCACTCACTCTGCAGCGTGTTGATATCAGAGTTAAGTCAGCACTCACTCTGCCATGTGTTGATATCAGAGTTGTCAGCACTCACTCTGCAGCGTGTTGATACCAGAGTTAAGTCAGCACTCACTCTGCAGCGTGTTGATATCAGATTTAAGTCAGCACTCACTCTGCAGCGTGTTGATATCAGAGTTAAGTCAGCACTCACCCTGCCACGTGTTGATATCAGAGTTGTCAGCACTCACCCTGCAGCGTGTGGATATCAGAGTTAAGTCAGCACTCACCCTGCAGCATGTTGAAATCAGAGTTAAGTCAGCACTCGTCCTGCAGCGTGTTGAAATCAGAGTTAAGTCAGCACTCGTCCCGCAGCGTGTTGAAATCAGAGTTGAGTCAGCACTCACCCTGCAGCGTGTTGATATCAGAGTTAAGTCAGCACTCATCCTGCAGCGTGTTGATATCAAAGGTAAGTCAGCACTCACTGTGCAGCGTGTTGATATCAGATTTAAGTCAGCACTCACTCTGCAGCGTGTTGATATCAGAGTTAAGTCAGCATTCACTCTGCCACATGTTGATATCAGAGTTGTCAGCACTCACTCTGCAGCGTGTTGATATCAGAGTTAAGTCAGCACTCACTCTGCAGCGTGTTGATATCAGAGTTGAGTCAGCACTCATCCCGCAGCGTGTTTTAATCAACACTTGAGGGAGTTATACTTCGTGCTGAGCCTCAGTGCAGAGCGTGTGGGACACTGGGGGATGGCTGCAGGCCGGTGGCACCTGCCCCACCATGGCCCACATTTTTAAGCTGTTTCAGGAACTTCCGTGGGAGCCTCCCCAGCGCACTCTGCCCTGTGTCTTCTAGGACCTCCTGGACCCCGCACGGTGGCGGATGCTGATCCAGCAGTTCCGGTATGACAACTACCGACTACACCAGCTGGGAAACAACTCGGTGTTCACCCTCACCCTGCAGGCTGGCCTCTCTGCCATCAAGACACCGTATCCTGCCCCATGTGCACAGTGCGGCTTTGGTCACATTTTAACAGGCTGACCCTGCACCTCGCCACCCTTGTGCTCCCACCACAGACAGCCCCAGGCTCCCGCATGCTGCACCTGCACAGTGTCTGGACGGGCAGGCGGGGCGGCGTTGTGGGGCCTCGGATGCCTGGCGCAGGCTTCACGCTGGAAAGAGGCTCATGTCCTCTCTCTCTCGTCTTCTCAGATGTGGCCACGAGTACCGAGTATTGATCTAAAAGCACAACTTTGATGTGTTCTGGCAGCTGGGAAGTTACCATTCAGAATAGTTTTCCCAGAGTTACCAAGAACCTTTCAGAATTTCAGTTGGTCTGCACTCTTGCAAACTGTTTCTGCTTTCACAAAGAGAAACATTCGGCCATGCCTTTGGCAGAGACAGCTCCCTTCCGCTGAGAGCTGAGACAGACGCCCTGACCGCAGCCGCCTGCGTGCCCTTACTGTCCAGGTCTGGTCGATCCCCTCAAGTGCGAGACACACTCTTGGCTCGAACTGCCCCTCCTTTCTCCCAGCATACCCCCCAACAGCCCTCTTCTGACAGGACCAGCCCGTGACTGGCTCCTTCCCCCATGACCGATCTGTTCCACCTGTGACTGACTCCTCTTGCCTGTGACTGACTCTGGTCCCGCCTGGAATGACTGTCCCACCTGTGACTGACTCTGTCCTTGCCTGTGACTGTGTCTCCGCCTGTGACTGACTCCATCCCATCCTGTGACTAGTCCTTCCCGCCTGTGACTAACTCCGCCCCAGCCTTGAGTGACTCCATCTTGCCTGTGACTGACTCTTGCCCGCCTGTGACCGTCTTGTCTGTGAATGACTCTGCGCCACCTGTGACCAACTGTCCCGCCTGTGCTGACTGTACCACCTGTGACTGTCTCATCTGTGACTGACACTCACCTGTGACTGTCCCTGTCTCACTTGTGACTCTTTGTCTCCTGTGACTCTGTCCCCACCTGTGACTGACTCTGCCCTGTCTGTGACTGTCAGCCTGCGCCTGACTCTGCCCTCACCTGTGCCTGACTCTGTCCCCGCCTATGAATGTCTCTCATGTGACCAGACTCAGGCCAGAGTGTAGTGAGTGTTTTGGGACTGCTGCTGGTACCTGGCTGTGCTGGGGTTCAAATGAGATTCAGCGCCCCTCCCTTGGCCCCTCTTTGTGGAACTCTGAGGGGAGGTTGGCTCGCACACCGCCTCTTCCTGGGTGCCAGCAGAACATCCCTACTAGGTGGCTCTTGTCTGTCCTGCCTGGAGAGGTTGCATGGGGTGGGAGAGGGTGGGTGGGCTACAGAGGCACTGTGTGCCTGTGGTCTGGGTGCAGGAGGCTGGGGCAGGAAGGTGCAGGTTTCTCCACCTAGGCCTCAGTGGGGCTGTTTTGCTGTGGAGGGCAGCACTTCCTTTGCCTCGAAAGATAGCCTGTGTTATGCCATGGTGTCCATTGGCCAGAATGCCATGCAGCCCGGGGCACAGTGGCCATGGGCTCAGCTCACCCGGCTGCCCTGGGTGGCCCCCAACCCTTCCTTGACCGACGCACAGACAGTGCTACAAGGAGGACGGCAGCTCCAAGAGCCCCGACTGCCCTGTGTGCAGCCGCTCCCTCAATAAGCTGGCACAGCCCCTGCCCATGGCCCACTGTGCCAACTCCCGCCTGGTCTGCAAGATCTCCGGCGATGTGATGAACGAGAACAACCCGCCCATGATGCTGCCCAACGGCTACGTCTATGGCTACAATGTGCGTCGGTGGGGACCGGGCAGGGGGCAGGCTGGCACATGTCTCCATCAGGACAGGGCTGGGGGGGCAGGGCAGGGGGGCGGGCTGGCACACGTCACCATCAGGACAGGGCTGGGGAGGGCAGGGCAGGGGGGTGGGCTGGCACACATCACCATCAGGACAGGGCTGGGGAGGGCAGGGCAGGGGGGCTGGGCTGGCACATGTCACCATCAGGACAGGGCAGGGCAGGGGGGCGGGCTGGCACGCATCTCCATCGGGACAGGGCTGGCGGGGGCAGGGCAGGGGGGCCGGGCTGGCACATATCTCCATTGGGACAGGGCTGGGAGGGCAGGGCAGGAGGACTGGGCTGGCACGTGTCTCATTGGGACAGAGCTGTCCTCTCACCCTACCCTGCTGTAACTCCATTGAAACGGATCAAGGGGCAGGAAGCACAGGCGAGATGGCCCCAGGATTTCATTGGTGGGGGGGGCCTTCGGGAAGGAACTTTGCCTGAGAGGATGGGTGGTTCGTTGTGGGGATTTCTCACGGAATCTGCATTTACGTTGCATTTGCTTCTTTTAATACATTCCCGTTTTGTTTTTCAGTCTCTGCTTTCTATCCGTCAAGATGATAAAGTCGTTTGCCCGAGAACCAAAGAAGTCTTTCACTTCTCACAAGCCGAGAAGGTGTACATCATGTAGGCCCCGCGTCGCCAAGCGCACGCCTCGGGACGGCTGCGGCGGGCAGGGAGGCTGCGCCTTCCTCCCGCCCCGCGCTCCAGCCAGCCGCGGCGCTTCTGTTTCTTGCGACCAAAGATCAGTGAGCAGCGATAAATACTCTTTAGGAAGAGCGGAAATAAGATTTAATAAATTTGTACTTGAAAACAACATTTTGATTGGTAGGATTTTGTAACACGTCAACCATTTGATGCTTCTGAAAAGTACTTTCAACTTTTGAAGGAAACTCTTCTTTAAAGACTGACCTAAACCCCGAGGGAAACTTTAGAACGTTTCAAAAATAGGAGTCCATGGTTTCCCCGTGTTGTTGGTTTCCTCCCTTCTGCGAACGGTGAGACTGGGAGAATGGGCTGGTCCTTTGCCACCTCCCAGTGCCCCCGGCCCAGCCTGGGAAAGGTGGCAGCGGCGCCGGACTGAGCTGCAGCGACCCGCAGTGCTGCGCCATGAGGGACACACGGCTTCCTTCGAGAGCTGCTGCCGTGGGGGGCTGGCTTTGAGGACGCCTGCCTGCCTTCGGGCCGTGTCCGCGGGACTGTCTGCGTCTGTGCGTAGGTTCCATGTCACATCCCGTGTGCCGCCTTACTTCCTGCTTCGAGAATGTATAACGTGGAGATCCACGGGACCAAGTTTCTGCAGAGGCCTTGCTGGACGGTTCCATAACCGTAGAGTCGAACTAATCCTGGAGTTGGGAGCACTGGTGACGTCTCAAAGCAAACGACCCACCGTAGTTCGCACAGAACCATATCGTAGAGGTTTGTAGCTGGCGCTTATTTTTGCATGTTGATGTTGACTAGCCAATAAACTGTGAATGTAAACCACGGAATAAAGTGGTTTCCTGTTTCTCATTTCTGTGTGAGCCAAGGCTGCCATACGTTTCTAACACCCGAGGCTTGTGTCCTGCTCCTCCCTGGCCCCGGGCAGCATGGCGGGGATGCGGAGCTTCTGTGGCGCCTGCCACGGAGAGTTGAGAACACACATGGAGGCCACTCCTGCCCAGACCGCAGCCGGAGCACAGCCCACCTCTCAGAGTGCTGCCCTGAGGCGTGATGGCCTCAGTGTCTCCAGGCCCCAGCTGGTAGCTGGGTGACTCTGACACTGGTTCCTGGGACCTGCAGGCTGTTGTCTGTTGTGGGTGGGGGCTCAGGCCACAGCCACCAGCAAGCCCGGGCCTGGGGCTTGGGCTGAGGAGGCTTGCGGACTGTGGCCACTGGCCCTTCCCCCACTGCCCACACCTGTTCTCTCCAGCACTCCGTCCCAGCTCCCGTGGCCAGTCTGGTGCCCCTTAGCCCATCTCTTCCCCCATGGCGGCTGTCCTGGCCCCTCCACAGTGCCGTGCTGCTGGAACCCAATGCACTCTCGTGCTTTTCCGAGTGCCCGTCCTGGGCAGACCTTGGCCGGAGCAGACCCTGTGGGGCTCTGCTCTGGTGATGCAGCAGCCCCGGGCTCCATGTCCTCACAAGCAGGGGCTTCTCTTGCCTCACGTCCTGTTCTTTCTTTTTAACTCGAGTAGAACATACTGGAATGCACACATTCTAAGTTCACGGAGCGAATGTCTGGAACCACTGCACAGATTGTTCCAGCCCTGGCCTTTCCCGGTTGATACCCTGGTCGTTCGTCATCGGAGTGGCTCACCCAGTCCATGAGCCCCATGAACACAGCCACGTGGTGTGGGCCACAGCTCAGCATCACTCAGCGGCTCAGCCCTGGCATAGCAAAGTCTCACCTACTCACAGGCCTGTGCTCCACAAGCAGAAGCAGCACAGCTGCCTGGCTCCTCCCAGGCTGGCGGGCGTCGGGTGGTGTCCGGGCAAAGCTGCCGTGAATACTCCAGGTTGTGACCCTTGCTGGACACATCATCCTTTTGTGGGAAGATCCCGAGGAGAGGGATTGCTGCGTCATGGGTCCACTCGGCAGACACCAAACATTTGCCAAAGGGGTTCCACCCGCTTCCATCTCCACACCCGCACCAGTGAGAGGCACCGTGAGTCTGGAATGTGAGGTGTTTCATTGGTTGGGCTCTCTCGCTGTTCTCCTCAATTGAGGTAAAAATTACGTACGTTAAAGTGCACATATACGTGAAAGCGGCTCAGTGAGTTTTTTTTTTCGAGACGGAGTTTCGCTCTTGTTACCCAGGCTGGAGTGCAATGGCGCGATCTCGGCTCACCACAACCTCCGCCTCCTGGGTTCAGGCAATTCTCCTGCCTCAGCCTCCTGAGTAGCTGGGATTACAGGCACGCACCACCGTGCCCAGCTAATTTTTGTATTTTTAGCAGAGACGGGGTTTCACCATGTTGACCAGGATGGTGTCGATCTCTTGACCTCGTGATCCACCCGCCTCGGCCTCCCAAAGTGCTGGGATTACAGGCTTGAGCCGCCGTGCCCAGTCGCTCAATTAGTCTTAACAAATGTGTGCCTACATGTGACCAGCACTGAAGCCCAGGTCTGGAACGTCCCTGTGGCCCCAGAAAGTGAGCCCTTGTGCCCTACACACAATCATTGCCCCGATTTTTCAGCAGAGGCTAGCTGTGGCTCCACACACGTCAGATGGTGGACTGTGAACACCAGTGCACCTACCTCGTTTAACTCCACAAATGGCTCGTGGGGCTCGTGCCTCTTCCTCGGGCGTTGCTGAGCAGGAGTGATAGTGGCCCACGTGTGCACAGACCACAGTGCATCCATTCCCTTGGCGGACGTTTGGGTTGTTCCCTGACTGGGGCTACGACGAGTTAACCGCTCACAAACAGCTGTGTGCCAGTCTTCCTGCAGACATTTTCATTTCTTTGGGAAGTAGTTCCCTGGAAGTAGAATGAACTGAGTCATGGTGTGTTTAACTCTATGTTTGACTGCACCACAACTGCCGAAGGCTTTTCCAGAGTTGGGGGTGCTGGTTCACACTCCAGAGGCAGCGTCGGGCTTCAGCGGCCCCAGGTTGCTGCCGACACGTGGCGTGGTCCTGTTGGCCATTCAGGTGGGTGTGCACTGGGGCCCCGGTGTGGTTTCCTTCATTTTCTCTGGCGCCTGAGGCTGACCTGATGTGCTGATTGCTACGTTTGCCTCTTGCTCATTTTAAATGGTGTTATCTTACTGATTTGTAGTGCCTCACGTCCAAATCCTTTGTGGGATATGTGCATTTATTCTTCATTGACTGCCTTTCATCAGCAGATGCTTTAATTTTAGTGCAGTTCAGGTCTTTCTTTTGTGACTAACGCATTTCTATGTTCTAAAAATCGATCTGCCTATCCCAGGGTTACAGTAGTGTTCTCAGATCTTCTAAAAGATTGAGTTTCAGCTTTTACGTTTAAGTCTGCAACACATCTCTAACGTGAGCGCGCTGCGTGAGAAACAGCTTGAGGAGAATTTCCCACCGCATCCCATGTTTGTTCTCTTGTTCTAACCCCATTTGCTGAAAAGACCTTTCTCGCCCTGTTGAATCATGTTGGCGCTATTTTAAAAACTTCCTGGCTGTGTAAGTTGGGGTTCACTTCCCGACACTATCTTCTGTAAGTCGGCCGTTAGATCAACTTTCACACGGCATCTTGATCACTGTAGTTGCGTTTTTTTCCCCCATTAATGACTTTCTTTTCACAGCATATCATTGCAGTTTTAAGGCAAATCTTGAACCAGGCAGTCTGAGTCCCCCAGTTCTGCTTTTTCAAAATAGTCTGGGTGGTTCCAGGTCCTTTGCATTTCCACGTGCATTTTAGAGTCAACTAATCAATGCCCACTGAACGCTGTAAAAAGCCTGCTGGGCTTTTCACTGGAGCTGCAGTGAACCCGCTGTCCCTACCTGGGGACAGTATTAGTTGGCTTGGTGACTAGGACATTTAAACAATGGACATTGATTTCTTCATGGTTCCCGAGGAGATGCTGGCAGGTTGGCCCCCAGCAAGGCCCCATCTCACTCAGACCGCCCCTCTCACTCAGAAGCCCCCCTCTCTCACAGAAGGCCCCTCTCAGAAGCCCCCCTCTCTCACAGAAGCCCCCTCTCTCAGACGGCCCCTCTCACTCAGAAGCCCCCCTCACTCAGAAGCCCCCCTCTCTCACAGAAGGCCCCTCTCAGAAGCCCCCCTCTCTCAGACGGCCCCTCACTCAGAAGCCCCCTCTTGCTCAGAAGCCCCCCTCTCTCTCAGAAGCCCCCCTCACTCAGAAGCCCCCCTCTCTCAGACGGCCCCTCACTCAGAAGCCCCCTCTCTCTCAGAAGCCCCCCTCAGAAGCACCCCCTCTTTCACAGAAGGCCCCTCTCGCTCAGAAGCCCCCCTCAGAAGCGCCCTCTCTCACAGAAGGCCCTTCTCACTCGGACGTCCCTCTCACTGTGTCCTCACGTGCACTCGCATGTCAGGTGCCTCTTCATCTCACAAGGACATCAGTCCTGTCAGGCCAGGGCTCTGTCCCTAGAATCCCATTGAATGTCAACCTGTTTAAAGGCCTCACCTTCAGATACAGTCGTACTGCAGGTCAGGGCTGCAGCACAGGCATCTGGGAGGCGGGGCCCCGTTTCAGTCCATACCAGTCATAGCAACCCTAACGGCACTGAGTCCTCAGACCCATGAACATGGTATATCTTTCTATGATTCACATTCTTCTCTCATCCAAGCTTTATAGTATCAACTGTACATATTTTGTACATACATTGAACTTTTTTATGATTTTTAATGCCATCATAAATCTATTTTAAAATCTCGACCTTCCAGTTACTCGTTGGTGATATGTGGACATATACTTGATTTTTGTATATTGATCTGGTACATAACTGTGACCTTAACTAAACTTGCTCATTAGTTCTAGCAGCTCTTTGGTAAGTTCTAAAGAACTTTCTGTGTATGTGATTATGTCATCTACAGGTGACGAGCTCTGCCTGTTCCTTTCCCGTCTTCATGCCTTTCGTGTCTTTGTCTCATGGTGCTGGCGGGAGCATCTGGGGCCGTGTTAAGTGTAGGAGGGGCGAGAGTGGACATCCGTTTCCAATGTTTGGCGTATTGTGTTGTCCATGATTCAGGATATTTGCTGTAAGTTTTCCTGAAGATGTCCTTTATCAGGCTCAGGAAGTTCCGCTCTGGTTTCTCAGGAGTTATGATCATGAATGGATGTTGAATTGTGTTCAACTTTTTTTATTCCTATAAAAAAGTAGCAAATGATTTTTCTCTTTCTTTCTGTTTATGGAGAACTTCATGGATTCTGAATTCCCATCTAGTCATGTTGTATTTTCTTAATCTATTGCCGGATTTGACTTGCTAATACTTTGCTAGGGAGTTTTTGCAACTGTTCACTGGGGTTACTGGTCTGTGATTTTCCTTTTAGTGTTTCTGTCTAGTTTTAGTGTCAGGGTTTTCAAAACTCATGAGATGAATTAGAATGTTTTCTCTCCTTGTGTATTTTCTGAAAGAATTTGTTACAATTTTCTTAAGAGATGGTCTTACCCTGTCACCTGGTCCTGGAGTACAGTGGCTATTCACTGGAGCCATCATAGCTCAAACTTGCAGCCTCAGACTTCAGGCCTCGAGTGATCCTCCTGCCTCGGCCTCCCAAGGAGCTGGGACTCCAGGTGCGTGCCACCCTGCCCAGCTAAATGATTGATACCATTTAACAGTGAAGCTACCCGGGTTTGGAGTTTTCTATGCAGGACGATTTCTAATTATGAACTCGATTTCTTTACTAGTTCTAAGACTAATTAGGTCTTTTTTTCCTTGTCGTTTTGATAATTTTTGTCATTAAAGTTCTTGTTAAGTTATATAATTTCTTGACATAAAGTTGTCCATACCTTATTTTTTTTTAAGTTTATAGGATCTGTAAGGATATCTTTTGCGTGTGTGTCTGTGTGTGTGTGTGAGAGAGAGAGAGAGAGAGAGGAGAGAGAGACAGATAGACAGGGTCTCATTCTGTTGCCCAGGCTGGAGTATAGTGGCGTAACCTTGGCTCACTGCAGCCTCGACCTCCTGGGCCCAAGTAATTCTCGCACCTCAGCCTCCTAAGTAGCTGAGACTACAGGTGCATGCCACCATGTCTGGCTAATTTTTCATATATTTTGTGGAGATGGGGTTTTGCCATGTTGCCCAGGCTGGTCTTGGCTTCTTGGGCTCAAGTGATCCACCCACCCAGGTGGATCTGAGACTAAGGTGGGAGGATTATTCAAGCCCAGGAGTTCAAGACCAGCCTTAGTGACCGTGAGACCTTGTCACTACAAAGAATTTTTTCAATTACCCAGGCATGGTGGTGCACATCTGTAGTCCCAGCTATTCAGGGGGCTGAGGCGGGAGGACGGCTTGAGCCAAGGAGTCTGGGCTGCAGTGACTGGGCTATGATCACACCGTGCACTCCAGCCTGGCTGACAGACTGAAATCCTGTCTCGAACGTAAAAAAGAAAGAAATTACACTCTGCATGGTTTTACTCCTTTTAAATTCATGGACACTTGCTCGGTGGCCCAGAATATGAGCTATCTTGGTGAAAGCAGCATGTACACTTAAAAAGAATGTGGGCCGGGTGTGGTGTCTCACACCTGTAATCCCAGCACTTTGGGAGAATCAGGTGGGCGGATCACCTAAGATCAGGAGTTCGAGACCAGCCTGGCCAACATGGTAAAAACCCGTCTCTACTAAAAAAAAAATCACAAAAGTTAGCCGGGCATGGTGGCAGGCACCTGTAATCCTAGCTACTCGGGAGGCTGAGGCAGGAGAATCACTTGAATCCGGGAGGTGGAGGTTGCAGGGAGCCGAGATCGCGCCTGGGTGACAAAGCAACATGCTGTCTCAAAAAGAAAAAGAAAAAAAAGGATGCAGAGCCATCAGCTGATACAGAGGGCAGTGGCGGGCAGCTCAGCTGTGCTGCTGAGCCCGAGGGCTGACAAGACACCCCGGGGCAGTGTAACAGAGACTGGACCCAGCAATTCAGGCATCCCTGGACACCCGGCTGGGCACAGGCTTACTGGAGGAGGAAGGCGGGGCACAGGGCCAAGACAGTTCTAAGAATGTGGCTGCAGAGGGGAGCAAAAAAAAAAAGCAACAGGTTGGTGAGAGAAGTTGGATAAAGAGGTTTTGTTAGTATGGGAGAAACCGCACCCTTTATGCGAGTGAAAATACAAAGAATCATGCTGTAGAAGACAGAGGGAAACTGCTGACGGGTGCCCTGGAGGGAGCTCGGGCCGGGGACTGGGTGCACAGGACAAGGGGCGCTGGGGAAGGGTCTGGCTGCCCGGCTGCAGCTTCCTCAGTGAAGCGAGGCCGGCTGGGGAAGGGGTGAGGCGGGTCAGCGGCGCGGGGCTGGCTGCAAGGAGCTGGGAGCCGCCGACACCCAGGGACAGGGGCCGGCGCCGCCGAGACGCGCAGCGCAGGGAGCCCCCCTTCCCTTCGCTGTCAAAACAATGGCTCTGCCGAGATGTGACTCACATCCTGAAATCCACCCGCAAAAGCACGACCGACGGGGCCGAGCGCCGCCAACGCTCTCACGCAGGCGCACGCCCGTCCCGCCAAAGAGAAACCCCGGCCCCGGCCCCGCCAGCGCGGTCCACACCGCGGCCTCCGGAGCCGCGCTCCCCCGAGCCCGGTCTCCAGGTGCGCCCGCCGCAGCGGGCCTCGCACTCCCCTCCGTTCCCGGCTGCAGGACGGACGGCGCCGCCGGCCCTCATTCCGCTCGGGGCCAGCCGGGCCCAGGAGCCCCTGCCGTGTGTCTGGCGCCGAGCTGGGCCCCAAAGGCCCCCGAGCCCGCCCAGGGGTTCCCTTCCCTGGGCCGGAGCAGGAGGCACCGCGGGGTCCAGCGCGCCCTGCGCGGGGCGAGCTCGGGGGCGAAGGCCCGCGTCCTCCCGCCTGGGCAGCCCACATTTGCCCTCCGCAGGGGAAGGGACGGGACCGGCAGCCTCCGGGCGGGCGTGGCCTCGAGGCCCAGACCGGAACTTCCCTTCGGCCTCAGTTTCCCGGCCGGCCCCCGCCCTCGGCGCCCGCACACGCGGCCCCTTTAAGAACTTGCTGTGCCCTCCCGCCTCTTTTTTCTCGCGCGTCTCCCCTCCCAGGCTGCTCCGCCCTCGCCGGGAGCGCGCCTACGTCACCGCGCAAACCGAGGCCGTGTTTTCGCGCCTGCGCTTCCTGGGCCGGGGTGAGCCATTGGCTGCCGAGCTCAGGACCCACGGTAGGGGGCGGGGCCTTTTCCGGAAAGGGTGGGGCGACGGCGAGAACGGCCGCGTCGAGCGGTTGGGCAGTCGTCGCCGTGGTGACCTCCGCTGCGGCCCAGGGCCCGCCAATGGCTGTAAAGCTCTTGGGCACCTGACGGGATGGGCGGGCCCCCCGCCGGAAGGGGCGGGGCGAGGCGAGCGGCCGCGTCAGTGGTAGGTGCGGCTGTGACTACGCTGCCAGGAGGGGGTCGCGCCGGCTCAGCACCTGGGCTCTGCCGGGGACGGGCCGAGACCTGCGGCCTGGGCGTGTCCGTATTTCCCGTGTCCCCGAGAGCATCGGCGACGGGGCCGCAGGGCGGGCCCTGGGCCGAATGACAGGCCGCAGCCCCGGAGCACCGCCGAACCCGGCGCGCCCGCCCGGTGCAGCCGTCCTGCCGGGGAGACCCGGCGGCCCCAGTCTCGCGCGGCCCCGCTGGGTCCCTCCTTTCCCCGGGTAGGACGCAGCTCCGCAGCCTCCGCCCGCGGCCTCGCCTGGCGCTTCCTTCCGGGTCCTCCGGCCTTTTCCTGCCGGTGCTGCAGCCTCTCGTCCCTTCCCACCCTGCCCGCCGCTGTGCTCGGGCCTGGGCCTCCGCGCGCGACGTTGTTTAGTCTGAGTTTCTCGGCCGCTCTTGGCCTCTGCAGCCTGGCTGGAGGCTGCCCTGCGGGTCTGAGTGGACGAGGGAAGCAGCAGCAGTCACGTAGGGGAAAAGCTGCTTAGGACAGTGCCGTTGGTTCCCGCGACGCACGCCCTCCGTGCGGTGCAGCGTCACACGCGCATGCGATGTACAGGTCCCGAGTCGAAGGGTCGCTTCTAAAACTGTAACCACCGGAAAGGCCTTGCCGGACTCCCTGACCGTCACCTTGAGTGATCATATTTCCCAGAGAGGCACCCACCAAGGTACAGACAGGCGGACCCCAGCCTCAGGGTCCTCCCGAACTTCGGTTTATAGTGGAGCCCCGTAAGCACGGTAGTAACACCCAGAGCTGTAAAATACGGATGGTGGTGGTTTAGCATCTCTGCCTTATTTATCTCTAGATATGGATCAGAAACTTTCAAAGTTGGTAGAAGAGCTCACAACTTCAGGAGAACCCCGACTAAATCCTGAGAAAATGAAGGAACTGAAGAAAATTTGCAAGTATGTCTTAGGGTTCAGTAATTCACAGTAACTGACTGGCCCACTGAGCCCAGTACACACAGGGCCCCCTGCCTGCCCCACCTGGGCGAGAACCACCCGAGGGACACACACCCAGGACATTTTCTCAGGGCCCTGCAGTGCCCAGCTCTGACCGGTGGTCGTGGTCCTAGGGTCAGGGCGTGTGGCATTGGGAACACATCAGTGCACTGCTGCTGTTGCTCCTCTTCGTGCCCGTGTGCATGGTGTAGAGAACGTGATATAGGAGTTCTTGAGTGCACATACATGATTTAGAAAGAAACGTACGTCTTTTTCTTTGCTGTTGGACTTTGCAAAGGGAGAGACTAGAGCTTGCTGCTGGGCGAGTTGCTCCCTCTGCATTTACAGTGTGTCTGCTCATGTCTCTCCAAGGAAAACGCTGGCCAGGGTCTCTGCCAGTCACTCCGAGGCAGCCAGAGACTCGGGGGGAAGCAGAGGTTCCTCTTGGAGGCTGAAGCATAGGTTGAGGACACTGATTATCTTGGTTCCTGTGTTTGTAAAACGGGAACTTACAGATTGTTTATGGTGATGGTGTTCATATTTTGATATAAAATTTCAGGTCAGGTTTCTTAGCATGCCCCAGGAAATCCAAATCACAGTGGTTTATGTGGGGCTGGGAAGAGGAGCAGTCAGGAGGCGCCGGAGACGTCAGCAGCACTAGGCCTTTCCTTCCTTGCTGCAGCAGGAGGCACCCAGCTGAGCAGTGCCTGTTTGTGCTGGGAGGTGTGCGTTTGTGCCGGGAGGTGTGTGTTTGTGCCACGCGGTGTGAGTTCATGCCGGGAGGTGTGTGTTAGTTCTGGGAGGTGTGTGTTTGTGCCACGCGGTGTGAGTTCGTGCCGGGAGGTGTGCGTTTGTGCCACGCGGTGTGAGTTCGTGCCGGGAGGTGTGCGTTAGTTCTGGGAGGTGTGTGTTTGTGCCTGGCGCTGTGTGTTCCTGCTGGGTGGTTTGTTTCAGGCTTTGCTGTAAGGCCTCAGCTCTGTGAATGCAGCTGCAGATGATGCAGGTGGGTAGATGGCCGCCTTCCAGTGAAAATTTGTGAATGGGCACTGCGTTTGAAGTCTGCATCATTTTCATGTCTCACCAAGTATTTTTTGCTTGTTCCAACATTCCTGGCTTGTGGCCCACACAGAAACAGGCCAGGCCGGGGAGCTAGAGGTGGGCCTTGGGCAGTAGTTTGCAGACCTGCTCTAGAAAAGGGGAGAGGAAAGATGGAAAGTCAGTGATGTCCTGTGTCACACGTGTGCGGCATCCCCGCATGGAGAGCCTTCCTCACCCGTCCTCCCTGTGCGGGCGTTTGGGTCAGGCCGGCTCACATCCCCAGGTCTTCAGAGGAGCAGCTGAGCCGCACCTACCGCCTGCTGATAGCACAGCTGGCCCAGGAGCACGCCGAGATCCGCCTCTCAGCCTTCCAGATTGTGGACGAGCTCTTCGCCAGGTCTCACCAGTTCCGGGTGCTGCTTGTTTCCAACTTCCAGGAGTTCCTGGAGCTCACGCTGGGCACGGACCCTGCACAGCCTCTGCCGCCCCCCAGGGAGGCGGCGCAGAGGTTGAGGCAGGCAGCCACCCGGGCCGTGGAAGGGTGGAATGAGAAGTTCGGGGAGGCCTACAAGAAGCTTGCCTTGGGCTACCACTTCTTAAGACACAACAAAAAGGTAGGTGGGTCTGACCGTTTTCTTAGAGACTCTGGTTACCCGACGGGAGGAGGGCAGACTGGACAAAGGAGAAGGTGCACTTCCTGTTGGGCCTGGCATGGCAGGGGCCTCTGTGGCCTTGCCTGGGCACCCAGGCTGCTGGACCGTCCATGGGGTGTGGGAGAGTGGAAGCAGCTGGGGTCAGGGCCTCCCTGAGAAGGGTGGCGCAGCTCTGAGAGGAAGAGCAGAAGCTTTATGTGTGGATGGAGCTGAGCCTGCATTCGTAATTTTTTATATGTGTGTAGGACACAAAAGCCAAATTCAGCTTTTCAGATGCAGCGTTTGCTGTGACAGTGGCCTCCGGCCTCTGGGACCTTTCCCAACCTTGCACGTGAAGGGTCCACCTGGAACCCTTGTGGGCTCTGCCTGATGCCTGGCATGGTGAAACTCACCAGCTTCTGCCGTTGTGGCCTGAACCCAGCCTTGTTGCCCAGACCCTGCCGTGCCCCCGCCCCACCTGCCACAAAGCCTCATGGCCCCTCAGGGCGATGGCCCAGCCCGCCAGCTTCCCTGTGCCCGTGGAGTGCCCAGTCTCCCGGGTTCATGCTTGCTTGTTTCAGGCCCTGGGTCCAGTCAGTGGCCCTTGCCTGCCAATGGGACAGGCACGCTGCTCTCCTGCCTACGTGGCACTTGAGGCGAGAAGTCTCATTGCCTATTAAGTGGAGCAGATGTGCCGGCTTTCCCAGGCCCAGACGGCAGAGTGCTGTGCATTTTACTTTGTTGTAACGCACTGTGAATGGCTGGTGTGAGGTGCACACCTATAGTCCCAGCGACTGCAGGCTGAGGCTGGTGGATCACCTGGTCCTGGGAGTTTGAGTCCAGCCTCAGCAACCCAGCGAGGGCCGCCGTCTCTTGAAAAAACAACTCACTGTGAACTTAAACACGCTGTAGGCTGCTGGCCACAGGTGGGTGCTGGGTCTTCTGTTAGGCCTGCTTCAGCTTTGTTTTCCTCACATTCTTTATAGATTGCCCAAGCCCTTGCTTTTCTTTTTTATTGAGATGGAGTCTTGCTCTGTCACCCAGGCTGGAGTGCAATGGTGTGATCTTGGCTCACTGCAACCTCTGCCTCCCGGGTTCAAGCGATTCTCCTGTTTCAGCCTCCTGAGTAGCTGGGATTACAGGCATGCACCACCACATCTGGCTGCCTTTTGTGTTTTTAGTCGAAATGGAGTTTCACCATGTTGCTCAGGCTGGTCCCGAGCTCCTGACCTCATGATCTGCCTGCCTCGGTCTCCCAAAGTGCTGGGATTACAGGCGTGAGCCACCATGCCTGGCCAGCCCTAGTCTTTAATGTCAATTGCTCAGGTGGATTTTCAAGATGCAAATGCTCGAACTCTGGCCGAAAGAAAGAGAGAAGAGGAGAAGCGGAAGCACTTGGATAAAATTTACCAGGAAAGAGCCAGCCAGGCGGAGAGAGAGATGCAAGGCAAGTGCCCAGGATGGAGGGCAGGGTCCGTGCCCCTGGGGGCTGCCCATGGTCCAGCGGTTCGTCCTCCTGGACCCAGGGCCCCAGGTGTTCAGACAGACTCGGTGGATATGGTTCAGGTCAGGTCGGGAGGCATTCTCAGCCATAGACCCCGCTCTGTCCCCAGGACCCTGCAGGGACCTCCCCAGGCTGTCCATGCCTCTCCCTTGCCCTCTGGTGGTCATGTTCACCCACGCCCATTCACTGTGCAGACCCTTGGGCAGAGATGCTGGGCACAGGTGTGCATGTGGGCAGTGGTCTGATACCCAGCCTGGCTGAAGGCCCTGCCGCCCGTTTATCTCGTGGCTGCCTTGCCCTTGCCAGCCCCTTGCCAGTCAATCTCACCATTGACTTTGTGGCAATCAGCCTTTCTCGTGAGGGGTGGGCAGGCCCAGGTGCCATGGCCTTCCTGAGGCATCTCCTGATGTGGGTAGAGACACAGCCCTGTGTCTTCAGACTGCAGGGCTGGGGGCTCTCCCTGTGCCTCCGATCCTCCCACTGACAGACCGTGGTCCCCCGCATGGGCCCTGCCACAGGCCAGTTCTGGGAAGTGCAGGCCTCAGAGGAGCCCACAAGGCAGGCAGGCAGCTGGGTGCCTGGATGATGAGGAGGCCACCAGGAGGAAAGCTGCCCCGGCCTGGGTGGTGTGGCATGAACGAGGGCGTTTTGTTGCTCTAGAAAGGAGGTGCAGCCGCGTCCTGGAAAGTGCAGGCGGGCTGACGACTCCCGAGCACTTGTGCTCGCTACCCAGAGGCACGGAGAGATTGTCTTGCAGGCCCAGCTGCTGAGCTGCTGCTTTCAAAAGCAGTTAAAAAGCTCACCACACGGCCAGGAGCAGCGACTCACACCTGTCATCCCAGCACTTTGGGAGGTCAGGGTGGGTGGATTGCTTGAGTCCTGGAGTTTGAAGCCAGCCTGGGCAACCCCGTCTCTACAAAAAGATTAGCTGAGCATAGTAGCACATGCTTGTGGTCCCAGCTAATCAGGAGGCTGAGGCAGGAGGACCACCTGAGCCTGGGAGGTCCAGGCTGTGGCGAGCTCTGATTGTACCACCGCATTCCAGTACAGGCAACAGAGCGACACCCTAGCTCAAAAAACAAAGAAAAATGTGTGATACACACACCAGAGACCTGGCTTTTGTTTGGGAAGAAAGGAGGCCCCAGGGGATGCAGGCTAGATACAAGACCCTGACCCACCTGGTGCTGAAAAGTGACGCCCTTTGGGGAGTGAGCCTCTGGGTGTGGTTTGGGGGGGGGCTAGTGCTTTTTCTGCGTATGGCACAGGAGACAGGTGTCCTGATCTTTTGGCAGAAATGTCGGGAGAAATGGAATCCTGCTTGACGGAGGTGCAGAGCTGCTTTAGGCTGTTGGTACCGTTTGACTTTGACCTTGGCCCGAGCCTGGAGACAGAATCCCTCGGCATGGCTCCTGGCGCGTCTGATGCCCCCAGCTCCTCCCGCGCCGGCCAGGTGGGCCCTTGCCAGTCTGGCCCTCCTGACCCCCAGGACGGGGAGCAGCCCTGCTGCAGTAGGGACCTGCCTGCCTCTGCAGGCCAACCCGGAGTGGGCGGCGGGACACTGCCGCCCCAGGCAGCTGCGGGGGACCCCTCAGATGAGGACGAGGACAGCGACCTCGAGGAGTTTGTGCGGAGCCACGGGCTGGGCTCGCACAAGTACACGCTGGATGTGGAGCTCTGCTCAGGTAACGGCCTGCCCGGCTCCTGGCTCAGTTCCTCCCTCACTGGCACCCAGCCCAGCAGCTCTGGAATGCAGGGTGTCCCCTGGGGACTGGGTCAGGGGTCACCACTAGGATTTTCTTTCTGTGTGGCCTCCGCATTGGGCTCCCCCCACCCATGCCAGGCCTCTGTGGCCACAGGGACACTTCTGAGAGCTCATGGCAGCCCCCGCCTCGGTAAGGCTGTGGGCCGATCAGGGACTTACAGAGTTAGGGTGGTCCTGGAAGGATGGGAGAGCACAGGTCTGACCTCCAAGTGACCAGGAGCCCTGGACAGGCTTTGTGGGTATCCCCCCCAGCTCACAGGCCTGTGTCGCCGTGAGGGGTCAGGTAGCGCTTGCCTTTGCCTGTAGGAAAATGTGATCCTGAAACTGCCACATGGAGCCTGGGTGCTCCAGCCTGGGTGGGTAAGGGTTGCAGAGACACGGCCGCCCCACCCCTGGCTCCAGCTTCCTCCCAGGCCCTGGGCTCCCCTCCTGGGGTGTGGACAGAGGCTGGGGCCCTTGAGTATGTGCGTGGCTGCAATTCGCTCTCTTTGAGGAACTTCTTTGGAAGCTGGCACAGTGGGCATCCCTTCACCAGACCCGGAGGCAGCCAGGCTGGGAAGCTGCTGGGAGAACTCATCTTCCAGGCTCAGCTGCCCAGAGGTGCCTCAGGAGTGAGGCCGCAGGCAGCCTGCAGGCCTGTGTGGGGTGGACGCCGCTGCTGCCAGTTCCCAGGTGCCCTGGACTACATAGAGCTCGGCCGTGTGCCGGACACTGAGGGTGCCACACTGGGAGAAGCCACAGCAGGGCCGAGTTGGAGCTGGGGTGCCCGACAGGAGAGGCAGGCTGGGGGGCTGCTGGTGAGGCTGGGAATGAGGTGGGCTGTAGAGGGCAAGGTTCTGTGCCCAGTGTGTGGGTGGGCTCGCCCCTCTGGATGGATGGCTGTAGTGGAGGAGGTTGAGACACAGGCGGTGCAGCTGGAGTGAAGGAGGCTTTGGTGTTAAGCCACGTGTTCTTTCCTAAGATCATGAAACATTTACTTCTCACAGCATCAGATTTGAGATCCTTGGAAGCAGGGAGGGCATCTGGCAGGTTCCCTGCAGGCTAGAGCAGCCTTTGCCTCATGCTCTGTTCATCTCGCTGGGGTCTATGGGAGACACTGGCCGGTGCCCTCAGGTGACCTCTGTGTGCTTCTCCGCAGACGGCCTGAAGGTGCAGGAAAACGAGGACAACCTCGCTGTGGTCCACGCCGCCCGTGACACACTTAAGCTCATCCGGAATAAGTTCCTGCCGGCCGTTTGCTCCTGGATCCAGGTGAGCCTCGAACCTGGGACCTGTGGGTTGGTGGACATGTGCAGTGTTGGGCGTGAGGGGTCCCTTTCGCCGGGGGGGTAGAGACTGAAGGGCCCCTGACCCGTGAGGGCTCTGTCCCTCGCTCACAGCTTCGTCCTCTGCATCCCGGGTATGTCAGGGACTCCCCCAGGCCAGTGGACCTGGCACTTGCTTCCCAGCGGGATGGCTTCCTAGGACCTGCCAACTGGCCTCTGAGCTCTCCGCACCCTCGTTTCGCAGCGCTTCACCCGCGTCGGGACCCACGGCGGATGTTTAAAACGCGCCATTGACCTGAAGGCAGAACTGGAGCTTGCCCTGAGGAAATACAAGGAGCTGGACATCGAACCTGAGGGAGGGCAGAGCCGCAGGGTGAGTGGGCAGGCAGTGAGTGGGAAGGGGTCCCCGATGCCTCAGTGGGGGAGGAGAAGCTGTGGGGACCACGTCCTGGGCCTGTGGTCCTGGCAGAGCCCAACCACACGCCAAGCCCACTTGGCCTCAGCAGCACCTGCCTTTCCGGCAAGGACTTCCTGTGAGCCCAGGGTCATTGCTGTGGTGGCAGAGGGGACGGTACAGCTATCAGTGCTGCCCGGCCGCCATGTGTACTGAGCACCACGCATAGAGGCGGCTGCAGGAAGCCACCAGTCAGGCCATCTCCCACAATCTAGTCCCCCCCGCAGCTCCTAGGGAGTCACCAGCCATGTGACACCTGTCCTGGTGGGCACTGTATCCACCAGAGAAGAGACTCCTGGCAAGCTCTTGGATGGCCAGGAGGGTCAGCGTGGGCAGCGGTGCCCACCTGGCGTACTCGGGCCACTGTCTGCTGGGCCCTGTAAGGAGTTTAGAAGGGTCATGGGGGGCACTGCACTTGGCTGAGCAGGGAGCATGGGGCTAGAAGGGGGCAGGACCTCCAGGAGGGGCTGGAGGCTGGAGGGAGGTATGGGGCGCCTCCAGCAGAGTGACGTGGGGAATTGAGACCGTCGTCGCATTGGGTGTGTCTGAGCCGGTCAAGGGTTGGGGTGCCCTGCACGCTGCTGTGCCAGGGCCTTGAGGTGGCTGAGTGTGGAATGACCTGGAGGGGTGTAAGAGCCGGGGTCTTCTGCAACATCCTCAGTGGTGCCCAGCGCAGTCGGGTCTTGGGACTGGAGGCGCACAGCAGTCACCCTGGGGTCGCACAGCAGTGGTGCTATCTATCTTTCAGGTGCCTCTCCCTCAGGGAACCCAAGCCCTGAACCCTGACACCCCGGAGCCTGGACCCTGAAACCAGCCCTGGCCTGGGAGATGGTGACCTTTCGGCTCTCCTCATTTTAGGAAAGCTTTGGGGTGGAAGTGACGCTGTGCTTTTTGCTAGGAACAGGTCGGATTCCACGGCGGCAGATGTGCGGGGGCCGTGGGAATTGGGGGGCCAGTGGGGAAGCTCCTCTCCGTGAATTTCCCAGCCTGTAGTCTGTCGTTTTCCCCAGGTCAGTGGCCCTGCGTCCCGGATGTGGTGGGGGTGTGCAGCTCCCGGGGGCCAGCAGAGGGCGAGCTTGCTTTTCTTCTTTAAGTCCCGAAATTCTGACTCCGGGAGAATTTATAGTCATGTGGGAGCCCCATGCCCGGCAAAGTCGCCGGCCCCTCAGTGGCCGGGCTGCTCAGGTGGCCGCATTTGTGGGTGCTGGTCAACACCTCCATGAGGAAGTACTTTTGTGAGTTTTGACGAAACTATACTTTCTGCAATGAAAGGGATGCTTTTCTAGGTTTGGGAGGAAGCTGGTGAGCGCCATCAGCACGTAGGGATCAGGGTGAGCCCACTGCCCACGCCCATCATGCTCAGGCCACAGGGTTGCAGCCACAGGACCAGGCCCTGCACCAGCCCCTGTCACCATTCCCGAGTGGGCCTCGTGGAGGCCGCCCACTGGGGTCACGGGGCACTTCCTGAGGCTCACACTGAGCCCCTCTCAAGGTTACTGCCCCATCTCCACTGCACGGGCATGGGCAAGGCTTGCTTGAGCCTCACACTGAGACCCTGAGCCAGGCACTGCCCCCAGCCCTGGACTTGCCTGGCTCGGCTCCTGCAGTCTGTGGACAGTTTTGCCTGAAGGTAGTCGGAGGGCAGCTGGCTCATTGGGTCCACAGAGCAAAGGGGGGCGCTGATGGGTGGCGTGGTCTGGGCCCCTCCGGCCGGCACAGTCCTTTTAATACCAGCAGCAGGGCTGGGGCAGCTAGGTGGCTCTGTTTGGCCTGAGACTCTGGCAGCAAAACCTTCTGGAATGCTTGGTGCTGCCCCTGACTGCATCTCACAGCTCCACAGCATCCCTGAGCGGGGCTGGCTGGTAGAAGGGAGTCCAGGGCTGCTGCAGCTCGGCCTGCTTGGGTGGGGATGAGGAACTGCGGCTTCCCGGGTCAGGACTCTTAATGCCACTGCGGACCAGAGAGGCCTGCTGGCTCCTGGTCATGGCTGACTGGCACCCACAGCTCTACCTCACCCTGGTGGATGTAGACTCCCATGTGCCAGGGAGACCAGGTGCCCTTCCGTGAGTGTCTGGCTTAGCCTGGCCCCCCCCCCCCCCCCGCCTGTGTGAGCTCAGGAGCGCTGGCTTCCCAGACCTCTACAGCACCAGCCTCTCCTGCCTCAGGGGTGCTGTGTTAAGGGCCTGGTCATTGGTGGCCAGGGCCTGCAAGACAGGTGTGGACCAGGCCATGCAGGAGGGTGCTAGGCAGGACACAGCCCCCTGTGGACCCCACCTGCTGCTGCTCCCACCCACCAGGTCCTGGAGACCCCACCGATGCTGTCAGTGGTCTCTGAGCTTCTGAGTGACTGATGGAGCGTCTCCCACCCCATGTGGTTGAGCCGTCAGCACTGCCCTCCGCGGCCCGTGACCCCAGCCCTCGGCACACAGGCAGCCACCCTGACCCAGCGCCCAGGGCCTGCCACCATCTCACTGTCCTTTCACTCCTGCTGGTGGGGGGCTCGCTCCTGACTCATCTGTGTGCGTCCTCTCGAGATCTGAGCAGTGGCACTCGGTGGGGGCATCTACGGTCAGGACTGACGCACTTGGAGGGCAGCTCTGGGTACTGGTGCAGGGCCCTTCGGCCACATGGTCTGGCCAGCAGACGTGCCCCGGCCATGCTTCAGGGCTGGTGAATGTGCGAGGGCATCTGGGCCTGTGAGTCTGGGTTGAGGATGTCAGAGCTCTGGGGGGAATGAGGTGCCACTCTGCTCCTTTGTCAGTTGAATGGACACTTTATAGACCCTTCTCTGCAAACTGTTTTTTTTTAAAGCGCTGCTCTGAAGCCCTTGGAGATTTTGCTCGCAGCAGCTGGAGCGCGAGGAGCTGCCTAGAGATGAAGTGATTGGTGAGCTTGCCTGGCTCAGGTGAGCGATGCTTCCCAGAATAGACGCGGCGCCGCTGTGGTATCTGCCCATCTCTCCTGGCTCCGCGCAGGCCACGGCCGTCCGAGTGGCGTGTGTGCGGCAGGTGGGGCTGGCTGACTGACGGTGGATGTTAATTAGAGCGGTTTTAATTAGAAATGAATGAGGTGCTCCTCGTTAACTTTGAATGCAATTTACAGAGGGTTGAAATCACTTCCCTCGGTGTCCCCCCACGTAGCACGGGATTGGCGTCGTTAACTCCATGTGTAGGACAGGCCACGCTAATTCAATCATGCCTCATTTAAATATTTTTAGAACTTTGAACAAATGTGCAGGAGACGGGAACACGGAACGCTGCGAGCTGTGCAGGCGGGAGGCAGGAGCCCTGACCAGGGAGGCCCAACCTGTCCTGTGGCGGCTCTGGCCGCCGCTCGTGCTGAGGTTCTCCCCCTGCAGTTACTGGGAGCAGATGCTGTGTCTCTTTCCTTCCTAGCATTTCCCACTTGGTGTCTAGGTAACGCTGTTTTCCTTTCGACACAGATGTGTCTTCAGAAAATACTTAGACTGGTTTCAATATGTGTAGCCGTGCGTTCGGAGTGCCTCTGTGTGGCTTCCCCGGGGAGCAGGCTGGGGGGGACATTCCCTGGATGGATGTGCAGCGCCATTTGGTAGATTGAGTGTCCAGCCTGGCCGCGCTGTAGGGCAGGCGTGCTAATCCATGCTTCGTCATTCACTGAGCTGATAAAAATCCTCCGGAAACTTTCACGTTGCCTGCTGCCAAATTATATAGCTCAGATCACCAATTACTTTGTATTGTGTAATCAACAAAATACTAATTTCCTACCAGCCAGTGAGTCGGAAAACCGTCTTAGGCATCAGTCTCTTTGGTACTGTCAGCATGCTTTCTCTTTCCTTTTTCTGGTTATTGGGTTGTTTACGTGGCTGAGAGATCTCCGTGGGTGTTTGTTTTTGTTCTCGCCGATGTTGAGTCTGATGTGGCAGCCGCACGGCGTGCTGTGGACATGTCCTCCGTTGCTCACAGAACCGGAGTCGTCCCAACTCTGGTTTTCTTTCTCTGTCAGCCACCTGCCTCCTCCAGTGGGCTCACCACCAAAGCTCTGATCTTTGGAGCTAGATGCCAGAAGCATTCTCCTGTCCTCCGATGTTCAGTGGGCTCGGGGGTGGAGCCGGCACGCTCTTGGGGACCCTGTCAGCCCCTGGAATCGAGGCCCCACCTCCCTTCGCTGCTGCGCATGAGGGAAAGTTCTCTGTGACGGTCTGGAGCCATGGGAGTCTGACTTCTGGAGGTGAAAAGGACAGAGACTGAAAAGCCAGGAATGGAACGGAGACTGCCATGCACAGGCAGCAGAGGGACTGAAAACCCAGGAATGAAATGGAGACTGCCATGCACAGGCAGGGGAGGAGGGACCTAAATCAGCGCCGTCGGAAAGCTTTGTGCTGCAGTAGGGACGCTGAACAACCTTGCTGGGTGATGGGCCCTCCATCATGCCGAAGGCCACGCCGCCGCCTCCCCAAGGGCTGCCCACTGTGGGGGGCACAGACATACCGGTTCTCTGGAGTCAGCGCAGGGAGCCCTGGGAGAACATCTCAGGCCCAGCCAGGGCCTTGTGCCAGCCCTTCCTCCCGCGCTGGTAGCACAGGCCCTGTCTTGGGCTTTTACCGTCTCTCAGTGCCTGTCTGCAAACAGGGCACTTCCCAGACAAGCCTAGTGCTCCCTGAAACACCTCCCACGCCATGATCCCTTTCGTGTGGGCCACCTGGTTTTCCACCTCATTTCACAGAGAAGCTGAGCCTGGTCCCGGTCTCCTTGTCGAGAGGCCTGGCCGCCTGATGAGTGAGTGTGCCCGAGGGCTGCCTGACGAACAGGCTAGCCCACTTCCCGGAGGCTGCCCTTCTGGTCCCCACGGGCCCTGGCTGCACTCTCCCTCTCTGAAAAGGTCAGGGGGCAGGGGTCCCTTCCCACACCTGTGAGGTGAGCGTGTGTGAATCACAGGAG